GTTATCACTTGTGGTGTTTGATATAGCATGATAGGGTTATCACTTGTGGTGTTTGATATAGCATGATAGGGTTATCACTTGTGGTGTTTAATATAGGATGATAGGGTTATCACTTGTTGATGTTTACATAACATGGTAGGGTTATCACTTATGTGTTTTTACATACAATGATAGGGTTATCACTTGTGGTGTTTGATATAGCATGATAGGGTTATCACTTGTGGACGTTTACATAACATGATAGGGTTATCACTTATGTGTTTTTACATACAATGATAGGGTTATCACTTGTGGTGTTTGATATAGCATGATAGGGTTATCACTTGTGGTGTTTGATATAGCATGATAGGGTTATCACTTGTGGATGTTTACATAACATGATAGGGTTATCACTTATGTGTTTTTACATACAATGATAGGGTTATCACTTGTGGTGTTTGATATAGCATGATAGGGTTATCACTTGTGGTGTTTGATATAGCATGATAGGGTTATCACTTGTGGTGTTTGATATAGCATGATAGGGTTATCACTTGTGGATGTTTACATAACATGGTAGAGTTATCACTTATGTGTTTTTACATACAATGATAGGGTTATCACTTGTGGTGTTTGATATAGCATGATAGGGTTATCACTTGTGGATGTTTACATAACATGGTAGGGTTATCACTTATGTGTTTTTACATACAATGATAGGGTTATCACTTGTGGTGTTTGATATAGCATGATAGGGTTATCACTTGTGGTGTTTGATATAGCATGATAGGGTTATCACTTGTGGATGTTTACATGACATGGTAGGGTTATCACTTATGTGTTTTTACATACAATGATAGGGTTATCACTTGTGGTGTTTGATATAGCATGATAGGGTTATCACATGTGGACGTTTACATAACATGTTAGGGTTATCACTTATGTGTTTTTACATACAATGATAGGGTTATCACTTGTGGTGTTTGATATAGCATGATAGGATTATCACTTGTGGACGTTTACATAACATGATAGGGTTATCACTTATGTGTTTTTACATACAATGATAGGGTTATCACTTGTGGTGTTTGATATAGCATGATAGGGTTATCACTTGTGGTGTTTGATATAGCATGATAGGGTTATCACTTGTGGATGTTTACATAACATGATAGGGTTATCACTTATGTGTTTTTACATACAATGATAGGGTTATCACTTGTGGTGTTTGATATAGCATGATAGGGTTATCACTTGTGGACGTTTACATAACATGATAGGGTTATCACTTATGTGTTTTTACATACAATGATAGGGTTATCACTTGTGGTGTTTGATATAGCATGATAGGGTTATCACTTGTGGTGTTTGATATAGCATAATAGGGTTATCACTTGTGGATGTTTACATAACATGGTAGGGTTATCACTTATGTGTTTTTACATACAATGATAGGGTTATCACTTGTGGTGTTTGATATAGCATGATAGGGTTATCACTTGTGGTGTTTGATATAGCATGATAGGGTTATCACTTGTGGTGTTTGATATAGCATGATAGGGTTATCACTTGTGGTGTTTGATATAGCATGATAGAGTTATCACTTGTGGTGTTTGATATAGCATGATAGAGTTATCACTTGTGGTGTTTGATATAGCATGATAGGGTTATCACTTGTGGATGTTTACATAACATGATAGGGTTATCACTTGTGGTGTTTGAAATAGCATGATAGGGTTATCACTTGTGGTCTTTTACATCATTAAAATTGTTGCACTTATATAGCTATGTGCACTACAGGTATATATGGACAGGTGACACTCCGTGTATATGTGTACAAGTGTTCCCCTGGTGACACTACAGGTATATATTACAGGTGACACTACAGGTATATATGTACAGGTGTTCCCCTGGTGACACTCCATGTATATGTGTACAGGTGTTCCCCTGGTGACACTCCATGTATATGTGTACAGATGTTCCCCTGGTGACACTCCATGTATATGTGTACAGGTGTTCCCCTGGTGACACTCCATGTATATGTGTACAGGTGTTCCCCTGGTGACACTACAGGTATATATGTACAGGTGTTCCCCTGGTGACACTACAGGTATATATGTACAGGTGTTCCCCTGGTGACACTACAGGTATATATGCCTGTTTATAAAGCTAGCCCACTGAGATACCATGATGCAGTTTAACTCACATTTCATTCATTGTAGATTGGCAGCTTTTGATCACATAAGGTTACGTAGCCTATGGTTAGATGTAGTGATGTAGGCAATGGTCACATGTAGGGATGTACCCCATGGTCACATGTAGGGATGTAGTCTATGGTCACATGTAGGGATGTAGTCTATGGTAGGGATGTAGTCTATGGTCACATGTAGGGATGTAGTCTATGGTCACATGTAGGGATGTATCCCATGGTCACATGTAGGGATGTATCCCATGGTCACATGTAGGGATGTAGTCTATGGTCACATGTAGGGATGTATACAGTCTATGGTCACATGTAGGGGATGTAGTCTATGGTCACATGTAGGGATGTAGTCTATGGTAGGGATGTAGTCTATGGTCACATGTAGGGATGTAGTCTATGGTCACATGTAGGGATGTATCCCATGGTCACATGTAGGGATGTATCCCATGGTCACATGTAGGGATGTAGTCTATGGTCACATGTAGGGATGTATACAGTCTATGGTCACATGTAGGGGATGTAGTCTATGGTCACATGTAGGGATGTAGTCTATGGTAGGGATGTAGTCTATGGTCACATGTAGGGATGTAGTCTATGGTCACATGTAGGGATGTATCCCATGGTCACATGTAGGGATGTATCCCATGGTCACATGTAGGGATGTATCCCATGGTCACATGTAGGGATGTAGTCTATGGTCACATGTAGGGATGTATACAGTCTATGGTCACATGTAGGGGATGTAGTCTATGGTCACATGTAGGGATGTAGTCTATGGTAGGGATGTAGTCTATGGTCACATGTAGGGATGTAGTCTATGGTCACATGTAGGGATGTAGTCTATGGTCACATGTAGGGATGTATCCCATGGTCACATGTAGGGATGTAGTCTATGGTCACATGTAGGGATGTATCCCATGGTCACATGAAGGGATGTATCCCATGGTCACGTGTAGGGATGTATCCCATGGTCACATGTAGGGATGTAGTCTATGGTCACATGTAGGGATGTAGTCTTTGGTCACATGTAGGGATGTAGTCTATTTTCACATGTAGGGATGTAGTCTATGGTCACATGTAGGGATAGAGTCTATGGTCACATGTAGGGATGTAGTCTATGGTCACATGTAGGGATGTAGTCTATGGTCACAAGTAGGAATGTATCCCATGGTCACATGTAGGGATGTATCCCATGGTCACATGTAGGGATGTAGTCTATGGTCACATGTAGGGATGTATACAGTCTATGGTCACATGTAGGGGATGTAGTCTATGGTCACATGTAGGGATGTAGTCTATGGTAGGGATGTAGTCTATGGTCACATGTAGGGATGTAGTCTATGGTCACATGTAGGGATGTAGTCTATGGTAGGGATGTAGTCTATGGTCACATGTAGGGATGTATCCCATGGTCACATGTAGGGATGTATCCCATGGTCACATGTAGGGATGTATACAGAGTATGGTCACATGTAGGGGATGTAGTCTATGGTCACATGTAGGGATGTAGTCTATGGTAGGGATGTAGGGATGTAGTCTATGGTCACATGTAGGGATGTAGTCTATGGTCACATGTAGGGATGTATCCTATGGTCACATGTAGGGATGTATCCCATGGTCACATGTAGGGATGTATCCCATGGTCACATGTAGGGATGTAGTCTATGGTCACATGTAGGGATGTAGTCTATGGTCACATGTAGGGATGTAGTCTATGGTCACATTTAGGGATGTAGTCTATGGTCACATGTAGGGATGTATCCCATGGTCACATGTAGGGATGTATCCCATGGTCACATATAGTGATGTAGGCTATGGTCACATGTAGGGATGTAGTCTATGGTCACATATAGTGATGTAGGCTATGGTCACATGTAGGGGATGTAGTCTATGGTCACATGTAGGGATGTAGTCTATGGTAGGGATGTAGGGATGTAGTCTATGGTCACATGTAGGGATGTAGTCTATGGTCACATGTAGGGATGTATCCTATGGTCACATGTAGGGATGTATCCCATGGTCACATGTAGGGATGTATCCCATGGTCACATGTAGGGATGTAGTCTATGGTCACATGTAGGGATGTAGTCTATGGTCACATGTAGGGATGTAGTCTATGGTCACATGTAGGGATGTATCCCATGGTCACATATAGTGATGTAGGCTATGGTCACATGTAGGGATGTAGTCTATGGTCACATGTTGGTCATCTAGGTTATGCCTGTATTTATTTTGTGAAGAAATAGAATTTCTATTCTTATCATTGAACAACACTGACTGTGTGAGGGCGCATTCATACACACAGTACCTTCATCTGTCCATCAATACATCGTGTCTCTGGACGTCATCGTGTACACATGCCAGGAAATTACTATAACCGAGACTATGACAGTGGAACAACACGACCGATATAGACGTGCCTCTGCCCCGGAGAGCTTTATTGATCCCAGTCAAGGAAATGTAGCATGGCAACCAAGTCGGAAAATATTGTCACAAACAATTTTCTGGGGTCTTTCAAAGTATAGTCTAGGGTGAGATAGGGCGAAAATCAAACATGCAATTACTTTGTACAGACATACCAAGTTGGTAGGGCAAACATGTAGCGTTGCCTCTGTACATCCTACTGTGGTCGAAGGCTGAGAATGTTCAACATCAACAGATCCCAAAATACTGGTCGGCTTCAGTGTTTGCTCTTCTGGCGTTGTAAATGCTGTTTTCCGATATATAAAGAGATACATATTATAAAATGAATACTACGTGAGAAATGTTATTGCTTTACTGTTATTAAGTTAGTTTCATATCTGTATTGTCTCTTCAGGTTGGAAGCATCAGACAGGTTCTATGAAGGTAGCTCTTGGACAGCGGCAGTTCCCTGCGGTGCTGGGGAGGTTGGCATGAAGGAATTAAGAATGTTACCACGCTGACGTATACCAGAGCCACAGAGAAACTAGGCGACAAGTACAGTGATCATACAATTTTGAAAGTTTGAAACAAAAACATCCTAACTTTGCTGCCAGATGTGATGACACTGATCACGATTCAGTCCTATATTCCAGGAGAGTGATTGTGATAGCCTTTCTAATGAATCGTGATACGATCTTACAAGCTTACAGCAACATGTCAAGATGGATGGCGTCTCTTTCTGTAAGCAAGCTATACGCAGTGTGTCTTATTGTGTCAACGGGTCTGACACTCACAACCCTTATACGACTTGAGCTGACGTGGGTGACCACATCTGGGCGAAGGGCCCGCCCTCGCAGTCTTGCTCTGTGTCCAAATGTTTTGTCGGGGATGTCGAGAGGACGCTGGGTTCCCCGAAATGTTTCACTGATGGAGAGACAAAAATTGGACGCGTTTGTGTCTACTGTGCGAAAACAATACAAACTTCCTGTAACGATGCAGCGAGAGGACGGACGATGTGGCGTAGTCTCCTATTCTTCTGGCATCCGTGACCACAGCGTTCTCCGTTATTTCCGAGCGATGTGTGATCCTAGTGGTCGCAACCCGTGCTGCAGGGGTACGATGTGTCAAGAAGGGTCTCGGGAGGAATGTCGGTGCCCTGAGTGCTACGACCTACGCCAGGATGTCCATGCTGAGTTGGCCAGTTGGGAGACAGATGACCCCCGATGTGGTCTTCGCGTGTTTAGGGGTGAGGAGGCTTGTCGTCTGCTGGCGGGGTCCACGCTGCTGGTGGCGGGGGATTCACTGATGCGGCAACTGTATGTGGCGCTGCTCCTCATTCTCGCCGGAAATGTCCAGGACGGTGCTTTAGGAAACGACATACCTGACGGTAACTAGTCCAATACCTTTATACCCCCGGGTTAGAATAGGTATTCAGCAACGCATGCTGGTCGTAACAGGCGACAACCCTTGTCCTTAGAGGAGGCCAACGGGATCGGGTGGTCATACTCGCTGACGTGGTTGATGCATGTCATATTTATCCCTATTGCTTGGATCGATGCTCATGATATGAAGCACTGAATTGTCTGGTCCATACTCGATTATTTACAGACCGCCCGCCATCATATAGCTGGAATATTGCTGAGTGTGGCGTTAAACAACAAACAAACAGACCTTTATACCCACTGTCTTCAGCAATGTCACTTGAACCCGTTGCCGGACGGGGCCACGGGTAATCCAATGATCTAAAGCATCGCAAATCGCAATGCCGTCGTTCCCGGATCCGCTGATCAGGGGATTCGAATAATAATTCCGACCCGCTTATGATCTGTCGTGGGTTTAACTGAGAAATTAAGAAGTTGCGACCAGTGAGTAGCCGAGCATGGGGTCAGCGTCATTACACCGCCGGCTACCGCCGCTCACGTGCAGTTCGGGATAAAGGGGTCGAGTCCAGAACAGTTTACTGTTTTGTTCACATTTAGCAACTACTCAACCCATTCCGTAATTGTGTCAATGTTGGTGCGGAATAACTGCTATATTCTGTTGTAAGACAATATCACATGTTACCAAAATAACATTTGTGACATGTAATTCCTATGCTAATCCATGTAACTATCCCTGACCAGCAACTGAGCATGTTTGATATTGGGTAGCATTCATCACAACCTCCGGCACCTGAAGTCATGGCATCAATCCTATTGATACCCATGACGGTGGCGAATGTTTGGTTCCTGGTAGCTTACAGATAGTGTTTTAAACAATAATTAATTAATATTATTGCTATGGTGCAATATGATTCACAACTGTTTTTGCATACAGCTTTTTTATAATGACATGTTTTAAACTACGCCTTGTTCTCGTCGCTGTATTGCTGAAACAATGCTGATGCGGTGTTGAATTCTACTTCATTCACCGATATCACATTTCACACATTATCATCAGTATTAATACTTTGCCACTCTACCGTACTGAGACATATTTCCTTTTCAGACATGCGCACTAGATGTTCCGGTATGAACCAGTTCACGGATAAGGAGTGTCGGCGCTATATCGTCACCGACACGGCAGTATGCAACGGCAGTGTCAAAATTGGATTTCGAGTGCGCACTAGGGCTGTGTATGTGCAGACGTTTTTATCAGACATAAGGACCTTGACGAGTATCGGACGCTCCATTGTTCTCGTCGGGTTCGGTCAGCACGATACCCTCAGCGTTCCGTTTGTCAAGTCACAGTTTTTACTTCCGGTGCTCAAATATATGAAGTCAGCCATGTTGAAATGGCCTCGCATTATTTGGGCCTCGGTTCACGCTTTTGGCGTCCTTGCCTTTGCCCCAGAGCGCAATGCGACGTTGGTGAGGGACTACAACAGACAGATCAGCGAGTTGCTGACGACGTGGGGTGTCCCTGTCATGGATACATTCAACATGACACTCGGTACCGTCAGCGTGGACGGGGTGCACTATGGACAAGGAGTCAACATGGCCAAAGCACAACTATTTTTCAATTATCTTTTCGAGGAGAAATTAAAATTCGAGTGGTAATTCGACATTATTTGTGGCAAACAATGGTGACATTAAGTGTTTTAATTGTTTCTGTACCGAAAGTGAAGCAAGCCACTTGTGTGACAGTTGTTTGCTCTTGGTTGTACAGGAAGTTGAGCGGACGTGGGTGTAATGTGCTCCAGGGTGCCCATGTCGGACAATGGCACCACTGTAATCACGCATGGACTTCAATACCTTATCAGAACAACTGACCGTTAATGTAACGTCATGCAGAGAATTGTATTGTTATCATTGTTCTATAGCATTACCACTGACGACAAAACAGTTTTTGTTAATGAATGAAAGTCCAGAATATAGTTCACAAAAGAAGTAGCACTACAGGTACACTATATGATTCAGATAGAACATGTCTCTCTTAGTGTACCGTCAAAAACGACTATCGTAAGTCCTATACTTTAACATAGTCCTACGATGCTTGTAGCGCTACGACGATCGTAACTCTTATACTTTAACATAGTCTTATGATGCTTGTAGCGCTACGATCGTAGGTGCTATACTTTAACACAGACTTATGATGCTTGTAGCGCTAGGATCGTAGCTCCTATACTTTAACATAACACAGACTTATAATGCTTGTAGCGTTACGGTCGTAACTCTTATATTTTAACATAGTCTCATGATGCTTGTAGCGCTGCGATCGTAACTCCTATACTTTAACATAGTCTGATGATGCTTGTAACGCTACGATCGTAACTCCCATAGTTTAACACAGACATATGATGCTTGTAACGCTACGATCGTAACTTCTATGCTTTAAGATAGTCTGATGATGCTTGTAACGCTACAATTGTAAGTCCTGTACTTTAACACAGACTTATGATGCTTGTAACGCTACAATCGTAAGTCATGTACTTTAACACAGACTTATGATGCTTGTAACTCTACGATCGTAACTCCTATACTTTAACACAGACAGATAGATGTTCATTATTTCCTCCATTTCATTAAGAGTACAAGGTATACAGTGAAAAGACAACATCTATAGTATAAGTGTACACACACACATATGTATATTACATATATGTCAGAAGAAGTTCATAAACATATGTATCATAGTGATTATTGGTGTTATTAGATGGACAATTAGCGTGTGCTATTTAAAATGTATACTTGCTTACAGTATATACATTGTTTAATATAAACAGCTTCGGATGACTTCATCCCACTTTTTAACTGCACCACCAATATTTATCATGCTCTCTGCCCATACATTGTAGTCGAATTCATCTTCAAGTTGTTTGCCAAGCAGAAAAGTCAGAAAGGTGTCATCGTCTGTCCAGATTCTCACAAATATTTTAACATCAAGCAAATCAGTGATTTTATCAAAGATGATATTTCTTTCTTCTAAATTCTTTTGACATGACATGAAAACGTGTTTCACTATATCATTCGCAACTGTTCCACAAATACATTCCTTTGATTCTATTGGCATTGAATCTAAGCGAACTAGTCTAGCTGAGGAAGTAAAATATTCTGGTCTATCGTGAGCAAGTTTCACTAACCTATGCTCTAGTCCAGATCGTATTGTTAGATATCTAGATAGAGATAATCTGCTCAGAAGCGCATTGTTTAGTAATTGTTTTTCGTGTAGGTGAATCTTTTCTTTCACCAGTTCTGACCATAACCGTTTCTTGATGAAATGTGAACACATTATATAATCATTAACCTCGTCAGACAATATTTGGAGACAAGACAGAAATAGCGTCCACCAAAGTACAGGCCAGAATCATGGTTTACATTTATCAACTTTCTCAGTTTTTCACATACTAACCTCGATCTTTCTACAGAAGTTTTAACAGTACTTATGTACACTCCCGTACAAACAACTGCCTTTTGAACATGTAATTTTATCTTTCCAATGTAAAGATGTTCAGGAGACACTGTTTTTTTACTACATCAAAAAGTTAGGAGAGCACTTTTGAACACATTGTATTCTAACTGCCACTTGTTAGCATAATTTTCTGCAACGCTTAGGAGCATTTGAAGACCTTTTGACTTGCAGCTGATCAAGGTCGTGTCGTCTGCTAACTGTATTCCTGGGCATCGTCCCCATGGGAGACATAGTCCACAACCGGAACTGCTTAGTTGATGAAGTAAATTGTTGGTATAAAGAGTTAAGAGCCATGCTGATATGACACGACCCTGACCTACACCATGTTTAACAGGGAAGACATCAGATTTGAAGCCAGCAAAGCTAACACATGGGTACATAGAATTGTAACATAGACGTAGAATTCTCCATAATTTACCATTGATACTAAATTTATGTAATTTATAAAGGAGACCGTCAAGCCAAACACTATCGAAGGCTTTCTCGTTATCGATAAAGGCACAATAAACTGTTGAATTTCTTTCGTTAAAGTATGAAACACTTTTTAGAAGAGTGAAAGCCGCCGTTCCAGCACCAGCATTTTTCCTAAATCCAAACTGTAGGGGGTGAGGAAAGGCTACATCGTCGCTTGTCCATTTTTTCGATTCTGTTGAGAAGCATTCTTTCGAAAAGCTTACTTAAGACTGAAGTGAGTGTTATGCCTCTGTAGTTAGATTGATCACTTTTACTTTTTCCTCGTCCCTTGTGTACTGGTAAGATTTCGCCAATATGATACACTTTAGGTACATATTCATGTTTAATAATAGCATTGAATAATACCATAATATGCTTTAATAAAGATCTTCCCGCATACTTAATATGTTCATTTGTGAGCTCCACAGATCCTGGAGATTTGTTGTTTTTTAGTCCTTTAACTGTACTTAATACCTCTGTAATGGTGAATGGTCTCTTCAATGGCTAGTTAGCAATGACATCGTTATCAGCATCAGAGGTTTTGTTGTTTTCAATATTTGTGACTGAGCATATTACTTCATCAGCAAAAGAACAGTCAAAATTACTTCCCATGGTTGGGATTGACAAGTCTCTAAAGTATTTACCAAAGACTCAACAAATGCCTTCTGCGTTTCTACTTTGATTACATTTATAAAGACTACTTGGCCCTTAGTTTTGGTATATCGTTTTGCAGTTTTAAAATATTCATGTACATCTCTTTCAGCTGCCTCATAGAGTTCTTTCAGTGTGCTATCTATGAGCTATTGTTTAGATCTACGATGCTGTCTTCTGAAACTACGCTTTGCTTGTTTATATTTAACAAAGATATCATCGTTCGTAGCATGTGATCTGCCATTCTCTTGCCAATGTCGTCTTTTGCTGCGCATTTCATCATGTAATAACTTCAGATTGTCATTTTTCCAAAAGGAGGTAGGGTTTAAACTTTGTTGATGGGATACTTGCTGCAGTAGATGCATGGAGGGCTTCTGTAATGTACTTATTATACGTTTCAATATATTCATTATGGGATGGGAATTGGGACAAATTGCATATGTCTTTAAGAAAGTAATTTTCAGTTTCATAACGATACAGCATGAGATCAGTATCACACGCTTTCTTCCAATTGAGCTTATATCCACCATATGTTTTTAGGACAGTCATTTGTTATTCACAGAAGGATAGGCAGATGGTCTGTGACAGCATATGGTATATTAGTATCAATGGTATAACCAATTAGGTTATTCAGATAATCAACACTCACAAACATATAGTCTATCATTGTTCTCACATCTTTACATTTGTTTGAGAACGTATACCAATGGTACAACTGAATATAGGGTTCGTTCATTTAGTACCCTTTGAAGACAACGAGATCTTATTCTTTGGACAGCAGATTGTCGTATATCTGCATTAAAATCTCCAGTAAGAATAGTAAGACCCTGTTGTGAGTATATGTCATACAATTCCATCACATTGTCCAGCTGTTCGAAGTATACACTGTCTAAGATGTTAGTGGAAGGTAATCTAGTTCCTATCACTTATAATGTGTTACTACCTATTTGTAGACTTACTCCGACAACATTTTGGCTTTGTGATGTATTGATAACGGATACCCTACACCAATCGCCTTTACGTATGAAGGTTGCTATACCACCTGACCCACGCTGAGAAGTACTGGTACAGCTGCATTTATAGTAAACATCAAAATCATCATGTATAGTTTTCATTAGGGAGGCATTTTGTTCACTTAACCAATGTTCAGTGACAAAGAATAGATCTGTGCTGTCTAGTCTGGTACATAACTGATGTGTACCGTGCATAATGCCTCGTATGTTCCAAGTTGCTTTTCGAAGCATAACGAGTAGTAGCAATGCACTATGTCTAATGTTTATTATTAGTATGGCTTTTCATTCTCGACCCCTAATGTATACCAAGAACGTTTTGGTACCCATTCTCTGCAGTTTACATTTTCAGGCCAGAACGTTTCATCGGCCAATATTGCCTTTGCACATTGTGTTGGCATATTTACACGTATTGTGTAAGTTGGATTTCGACCCTCCCGTTGCTTAAGGAGCTTCATATAACTAATTGTAACACCACGCTATGTTGCATAGTCCTTGATCGCGTCTTCTAAATTTCAAAGGGCATGTCAGCTTTTATATAAGACAGAACAAGCCTCTTTTGTCTAAAGCGAGAGGCCCCAGAGAAGGCCTTTTTCCACTGATCGTTCAGTTGGACGGTCCTTGATTGACTTGCATGATTTTCTTCACTGGGGCTTTCGCGTGTAATAGTAAGGGACGGTTCATTGTTCGTGTGGTTACGAGATGTTTCTTGTCGTGAGTGTCTCACATTGCTTGGCTTTTGGTGTGGTCTCGGATTGTTGAGTTTGTTGATCTAGATGGGTTGCCATTACTAATTGCTGGACAATGAGCTGCTGCTTGGCTTGTTGTTGTATTTTCAAATGTCACACACGGGTCATCAGAGTTCGCACTTCTTACGGCTTCTGAGTACAATATCTTACTTCTGGTGCTCATACAATCTATTTGCCCATCTATAGCAGACGTTCGTTTATCAACGATTATTGTTGATATTCTTGTCTGCAGAGTTTCTTGGAGCTCTTTAATATCCACATTCTTATGTTGTAGCGCTACGATCGTAACTGTAGCATAGTCTTATGATGCTTGTAGCTATGATCGTAAAGTCCTGTACTTTAACACAGACTTATGATGCTTGTAGCGCTACGATCGTAACTCCTATACTTTAACATAGTCTTTTGATGCTTGTAGCTATGATCGTTTTGTGGAACGAGTCCCTGGTCTCTATGTATAGTGGCTTCACTCCGGAAATCATGCAATCGATCACAACAAGTGGCTACAATGGAATTTTATAAGTTCAATTATTGAGGAGAATAATAATAACGTAGACATAATGTAGATGTATAATAGGCACCGGAAGAGGTTCGGTTATGTGTTAAACGTTGTTATCTGTTGCAGTCATCAGGTTGTTTTTTAGAAGCATTAGCTGTTGAATGTTTCGCCCTTTCAAACACCAATACACACACCATTATCTGGTCTGCTATTTAGTGTACGTAGATAGAGGATCGAGTACCAGCACTTTATCGAGATATGAACGTATTGTCGCGAGAACAAAGGGCGAGGTTCTTTGTTCTCTCGACAGTAAGTTTAAAGTACTGGCACACATTCTTTATCTATCTCAGAGCACAGGCAAATACTCGAGTTCCACTACCTGTACGCTGCAGATCGCACAAACTCCACTATTTACATTCGAAACAGACTGCACGACTTCATACAGATTGTACAGCTCGTGCAGTGTTTGTTGTGTAAGGCCTATCATGCTGAAATGTACAGGTTTCACGAAGCTCGAGTTTCGCGGCTCTATAAACTGTATAATTTACTGTACTTTATCTGTACATACATTTACTCCACCTGACCAAAATAGTGACCACCTGTTGGACGGAAATATTTGCCTGTGTTTCCAACCAACGTCACTTGAAACATTTTACTACCGCTTCATACAGCCTATTATTACGTGTATTTGTACATCGCAGACTAAGAGTATACAGATATTAGGTAGTGCAGATCAGTTCGCGGTGTTGGATATATACGTCGGAACTGTATATCCATGGAAATATGTTCCTCATTTCACGTGCACGACAGAGTTATGTCTATTAATGTCACGGTGTGCCGATCTATATACATTAGAAACTACTGCTTCAGAAGCTGACTCAGATATACTGACAGATGGAAGGTTCCCTGTCACCGTGTCCACGACACAGGGCAGGGTGGTGTCACGGTGTGCATTTCACCTGGACCGTCGTCTCCGCCACCATTCTGTCGTTGTAAGTTAATGTATTATAACGTAAACATTACTTTATAAAGTCTATGCCATAGATTTAAGACATGAAGGATGGCTTCTATCACAGACACACGTTTTAACGTCCGATATCACCGAGATGTCACCGGGACACTGTCGCTGTTGCCGCGCATCAGCCCTCGGCTGTGTGTGCACTGCCTGTCTGCACGGTGGTTCTCAGGGCTGACAGGCTGGGAGGAGCCTGACTTGTCTCCCTGTGATAACTTGGGCTCAGCTCGATATAACCGTTGCCAGGATCATCCAGTCGGACAAGGAGACTCTCAAGGCCCTGGAAGCGCTTGTCTAGAACTGTCCTTCGCTTAGCCCACATCTGACCACTGTTACTCTGTTCACCCCCCGTGTTCATCGTGTGCATGATGCGGGTGACGCCGCCATTGCTCCCCTTGAATGTCACCCTACCACTCCTTCTGACCGCAATGTCAGGAAGCTTCAGATCCTCGTCTCGATACGTGTATTCTCCAGCACTGCTGTGGACAAACTTAGGGTGTCTAGGTGAGCTACTGTCCCTGCCAGGATTGTCTTCCCCTGCTAATAAGATTGGTAACAGATAGTCAAGAACACCAGGAGTCGTCGTCTTGTGGTCCTGCGCATGTTGTTGCTTCATTAACCGTCTTATGAGAAATGACTTCCGGTGTAGATCGAGCAGACGAGTTGTCTTCTGTTGCTCGGTTTTGATGTGAGACAGCTTGACATCCAGCATCTGTTGCTGAGTCACGTTGTCATACAGCAGCACGCGAGACACGCTGGACTTGGGCAGCACGCTCAGGCTCTTCTTGCCGTAGTTCGGGACGATCCTGGGCGGCCGATGCATGTAGTTGAGGTCCATTCTGCGCATCTTCACCGCCGCTTCGTCCTCCACCCGTGACTCCGTCATCTCAACGGCTGCACTGTCTGAAACATGACGAGTTGGATCAGCAATTGCAAGGTCAGAGAGTAAGTGTGCTGATAGAGAAACAACGCCAATAGGATGGATTTGAAATACATGCCCGAATCCTAGGTAGCGCAAACATACAGAGAGTGAGGAGTACAAGGCCTGTGATGGCTAGTTTACGGACATAAAACGTAGTATAACACCCTCACAGAAGACAAGAGAGCTAGGCTGATACTAATGGTGCCCAAACAGAGTTAAGGATATCCTGCAATGATTGGTTGACATACACTATCAGTAGACATTCAATGGTTGGTTGGCATACACTATCAGTAGACATTCAATGGTTGGTTGGCATACACTATCAGTAGACATTCAATGGTTGGTTGGCATACACTATCAGTAGACATTCAATGGTTGGTTGGCATACAGTTATTAGTACACATTCAATGGTTGGCCGACATGACGTGGTGAAAAGGCATAAGGTTGTGGGTAGATGACAATGATGATACATTTCCATTAAGAATGTGTGACAGTGATGTAGTGATGCTGACAGTGTGTGACAGTGATGTAGTGATGCTGACAGTGTGTGACAGTGATGTAGTGATGCTGACAGTGTGTGACAGTGATGTAGTGATGCTGACAGACAGTGAATGGCAGTGATGTAGTGATGCTGACAGACAGTGAATGGCAGTGATGTAGTGATGCTGACAGTGTGTGACAGTGATGTAGTGATGCTGACAGACACTGTATGGATGTGATGCAGTGATGCAGATAGACAGTGTGTGACAGTGATGTAGTGATGCTGGCAGACAGTGAATGACAGTGATGTAGTGATGCTGACAGACAGTGAATGGCAGTGATGTAGTGATGCTGACAGTGTGTGACAGTGATGTAGTGATGCTGACAGACACTGTATGGATGTGATGCAGTGATGCAGATAGACAGTGTGTGACAGTGATGTAGTGATGCTGGCAGACAGTGAATGACAGTGATGTAGTGATGCTGACAGACAGTGAATGGCAGTGATGTAGTGATGCTGACAGTGTGTGACAGTGATGTAGTGATGCTGACAGACACTGTATGGATGTGATGCAGTGATGCAGATAGACAGTGTGTGACAGTGATGTAGTGATGCTGGCAGACAGTGAATGACAGTGATGTAGTGATGCTGACAGACAGTGAATGGCAGTGATGTAGTGATGCTGACAGTGTGTGACAGTGATGTAGTGATGCTGACAGACACTGTATGGATGTGATGCAGTGATGCAGATAGACAGTGTGTGACAGTGATGTAGTGATGCTGGCAGCCAGTGAATGACAGTGATGCATTGATACTGACAGACAGTGAATGGCAGTGATGCTGACAGACAGTGTATGGCAGTGATGTAGTGATGCTGGCAGACAGTGAATGACAGTGATGCATTGATGCTGGCAGACAGTGAATGGCAGTGATACTGACAGACAGTGAATGGCAGTGATGTAGTGATGCTGACAGACAGTGAATGGCAGTGATGCTGACAGACAGTGTATGGCAGTGATGTAGTGATGCTGGCAGACAGTGAATGGCAGTGATGCTGACAGACAGTGTATGGCAGTGATGTAGTGATGCTGACAGACAGTGTATGGCAGTGATGTAGTGATGCTGACAGACAGTGAATGGCAGTGATGCTGACAGACAGTGTATGGCAGTGATGTAGTGATGCTGGCAGACAGTGAATGGCAGTGATACTGACAGACAGTGAATGGCAGTGATGTAGTGATGCTGGCAGACAGTGAATGGCAGTGATGCTGACAGACAGTGTATGGCAGTGATGTAGTGATGCTGACAGACAGTGTATGGCAGTGATGTAGTGATGCTGGCAGACAGTGAATGACAGTGATGCATTGATGCTGACAGACAGTGAATGGCAGTGATGCAGTGATGCTGACAGACAGTGTATGGCAGTGATGTAGTGATGCTGACAGACAGTGAATGGCAGTGATGCAGTGATGCTGACAGACAGTGAATGACAGTGATGCAGTGATGGTGACAGACAGTGTATGGCAGTGATGTAGTGATGCTGACAGACAGTGTATGGCAGTGATGTAGTGATGCTGACAGACAGTGAATGACAGTGATGCAGTGATGCTGACAGACAGTGTATGGCAGTGATGTAGTGATGCTGACAGACAGTGAATGACAGTGATGCAGTGATGCTGACAGACAGTGAATGGCAGTGATGCAGTGATGCTGACAGACAGTGTATGGCAGTGATGTAGTGATGCTGACAGACAGTGTATGGCAGTGATGTAGTGATGCTGACAGACAGTGTATGGCAGTGATGTAGTGATGCTGACAGACAGTGAATGGCAGTGATGCAGTGATGCTGACAGACAGTGTATGGCAGTGATGTAGTGATGCTGACAGACAATACATGACAGCGATGCAGTGATGCTGACAGACAGTGTATGACAGTGATGTAGTGATGCTGGCAGACAGTGAATGACAGTGATGCAGTGATGCTGACAGACAGTGAATGGCAGTGATGCATTGATGCTGACAGACAGTGAATGGCAGTGATGCTGACAGACAATACATGACAGTGATGCAGTGATGCTGACAGACAGTGAATGACAGTGATGCAGTGATGGTGACAGACAGTGTATGGCAGTGATGCAGTGATGCTGACAGACAGTGAATGGCAGTGATGTAGTGATGCTGACAGACAGTGTATGGCAGTGATGTAGTGATGCTGACAGACAGTGTATGGCAGTGATGTAGTGATGCTGACAGACAGTGAATGACAGTGATGTAGTGATGCTGACAGACAGTGAATGACAGTGATGCAGTGATGGTGACAGACAGTGAATGGCAGTGATGTAGTGATGCTGACAGACAGTGAATGGCAGTGATGTAGTGATGCTGACAGACAGTGAATGACAGTGATGCAGTGATGGTGACAGACAGTGAATGGCAGTGATGTAGTGATGCTGACAGACAGTGTATGGCAGTGATGTAGTGATGCTGGCAGACAGTGAATGGCAGTGATGCTGACAGACAGTGTATGGCAGTGATGTAGTGATGCTGGCAGACAGTGAATGACAGTGATGCAGTGATGCTGACAGATGGTGAATGACAGTGATGCTGACAGACAGTGAATGGCAGTGATGTAGTGATGCTGACAGACAGTGAATGGCAGTGATGCAGTGATGCTGACAGACAGTGAATGGCAGTGATGTAGTGATGCTGACAGACAGTGAATGGCAGTGATGTAGTGATGCTGACAGACAGTGAATGGCAGTGATGTAGTGATGCTGACAGACAGTGTATGGCAGTGATGTAGTGATGCTGACAGACAGTGAATGGCAGTGATGCATTGATGCTGACAGACAGTGAATGGCAGTGATGTAGTGATGCTGACAGACAGTGAATGGCAGTGATGTAGTGATGCTGACAGACAGTGAATGGCAGTGATGCATTGATACTGACAGACAGTGTATGGCAGTGATGCATTGATACTGACAGACAGTAAATGGCAGTGATGCATTGATACTGACAGACAGTGAATGGCAGTGATGTAGTGATGCTGACAGACAATAAATGGCAGTGATGCATTGATGCTGACAGACAGTGAATGGCAGTGATGCATTGATACTGACAGACAGTGAATGGCAGTGATGTAGTGATGCTGACAGACAATAAATGGCAGTGATGCATTGATACTGGTAGAGTTTGTGACAGTCACATATCCACACTGATAGACAGAGTATATTTTCAGTCATTGTTACAAGATATACAATTATTATTTTACCCTGAAAGGAGGCGCTGGACATTTTGGTCATAGCAAATTTGTATTGAAATGTTCAATAAAACATTCATATGTCAATAGGCACAGGGGAGATATAATACATAACATAAACAAGTCCAACAGTTTCACTTTCCTCACTTGATGGCTGAAAATATTACTGAGCTGACCGAGCCTGCCCACATCAGTGCCTTGACGCTATCATTATCATGTCCCTGTTACATTAGGAACACGCACGCACGCACGCACGCACGCACGCACGCACGCACGCACGCACGCACGCACGCGCGCGCGCGCGTACACACACTCTGTATACACGCTGTAGAAACTAACGATTTAATATACATATTTCTGGTTATATAATGTCCGTTAAGAGGCGTAAAGTTGACAGTACGTTTCTATAGTGTTAAGCCCCACAGCATTACTAAGTTCGCTCTGGTATCCAGGCCAGTGTTTGCACATGGAATTAACAAATATCTGTTATTTGTTGTAAGCTCTATACTGAATGTGACAACTGTCCCCGGTTTGAGTTAGATCGGATGCATACACTGTATAATGAGCACACAAAGACGTGTTAACATGCGTACATTTCAACGTATGGCATATATACATTATATTTCAATCGTTACAATAAACATGGCGTTACTTACCTCACACCAACATTGCGATATATATTCTGTTGAAACTGACAGGAATTTTTTTACACCTGCAGGTGTTGCGGTTTATGAATGTTGTAAGCAGATAACTAAAGGACGTGGATACACATAAACAGTTCTCCTGGCATGTGGACAGTGCCAGCTCTAATCCCCCGTGTAAACGGTGTGAGGGTGACGGACACAACGGGCGGACCCACTCATGTGAACACAATATTTTCCCTGGCGAGTCAATCAATTGCCAATACGTTCCTCTTCTATTGCTCCAGCTACCCTACAGAGACATGAACCGTCAATTGTATCTGTGGGTGAATGGGAATCTCAGTGCACTTACTGGCAGCTTACAGGGGCAAAATACAGGAATAAATCTGAATACAGCGGCAAAACACGGGAATAAATGTGAATACACGGGCAACAAACAGAAGACATCTAAATGTCTGAACAGATGTCAGATGTAAACTCAGTAACTCACATCAGTATGTTATATACAGAGACACGAATAGGAACAATGTGAATACAGGGACGGATCTAAATACAGGAGTGAGTGAGTACTACTTAAACGCCGCATCAGCAATCCTGCAG